ATGAATTGTATATTTTATAGCAACYATATTATGATAGTTAATTAGACAAATGTTAGATTTTTAACGTACATACTACATACCTATTTTATTTTGAAAAAAATCTTTTGTTAAAATTTAAAAAATAACCAATAAAGTATATATCACCTATTCAAAAAATGTAACGAAACTAATTGTTATAAATCCAGTTTRAAATTACTGTAAGGTATTAAAAGATAACAGTTCAATAAAAAGCAGATGATGCAAATGCACTTTTAAGGAATTTTGGAATATAGCTCCCGACCTGATGGTAGTGTTGCCTATGACGTAGTTCTCGTCGTACAAATGACGTCATATCGCCTGACGCCCACGCTACTCTCGTTGGCGTCAGACCATTTGGGATTATAATAAAAAAAGGAAATAAATACATAAACCACCACTATCCCTCGTCATCCCTTTCATTCCTATTTCCTCTTCATTAAACATACCGTATTTTGGATGCTTACGTCACCRTTTTCCCTTATTTTCTCTCGTATGTAATGCGTGTTCAAAAATACTGTTCAATACAATGATAAAATTATTCAAAAAAATTTACACCTGTACATAATATAATGTTAGTTGAAAGTATCTTGATAAATGATAAAAACAGGGATAAAAACCATGTGTGACCTTTGACCTGATATCATAAAAATTGACTGCTGTAAGTAACAAGTAACAACAATAGTGTTATTCCCCTGAAATAATCTGTAATCACAACTTTTAAAATATTTTGTTCTAGTATTTTTATTTTTATTTTTTTAATTTTACATTAAGGTATACACAATATGTACAGGTGATATTATAAATAATAATGAATATTTTTTGAATAAGAAATCACCCATTGGTGATACTTGGCTGGAAATTGTTCTCTAGTATATTTAAAAAAAATATGAAATGGTATGTATATATTTTTATACTTAAATTGTTGTAGTTGTTTGTACTAAGTTATATAAAGCATAATAGAAAAAAAATTGTATTGACATTGTGTTATGACGTATCTAGTTGAACGTTCAACATTTACTTTTAAGTATAATTGAGATCATACCTATTACAATTTTTATTGCTTTCTTGTTTTTATTTCAAACAATTGTATTTTTATTAYGTAGGTAAGTTAAACTACGCAAGAAAATGTGTTATTTCAATTATTAATTTTGAATTGTTTATATAAACTTCTGACTTAACAGAAAAAAATATCGTAAATTTTCGATGCAAACGAATTTATAAAACATTTACTACATTTTAGTCGTTGCGTTTTTACAAATTACAATTTATAATAATTGTGGCGACCCGCATTATTATATTCGACCCAATAGAATTAACCACACAACATAATAATATGCGAGTTCAGGAATTGTTAGTACCTACCTAGGTATGTATTATATAGGTGGTTGAATAATTTTTGTTATAGAATTTTAAAGGATTGTGGGAGATAGTATTGCTGTATTGCTTAAAAAAAAATTATATTAAATATCATGAATATTATTTATTATAAATTTTGTGGATAAAATCAAGTTTCCAAGGTTTCCCCGTTAACCCATTTTTACCCGCTCACCCCATTCATTCTCACCCCATGTTCACGGTACGTAATTAGTTATCGCGATACGATGGGTCGTTTGTTAGTTGTTGTACTATTGACAGTACTTACCGTTAGCATGTAAAGCGGAAAGACTTATCTAGTAATTAGATATTATACGGCCGGTATTTATTTTTTCTGGCATCGCCACTCTACTGTTTCGCCTTGCCCTTTGGACGATATTTTTAGACCGTATGCTGTAACACCCGCATGGCTGACGCTTTCGGTCACTGTCGTCGGCGGAGGTTTGCATACAATAATTACCGGTCCACACGGTAAATACCAAACGTGGTGGCGGGATCGGTGGCAGACGGCAGTGGTGATGGCGCGGTAACCCAACCGAATGCGCAATGGTGTCGCTGTCGTCGGTGCTTTGATGGGTGGTGGGGGTTAAGCGCGGGTCGTCACCGGCAGCCAACTGATCGCGGATCGGCCGTGCTGTGGCAGTAGTTCCGTTTCGTTTGCGGTGCCCGAACGTAACGTTGCGTGTGCGTGCGCCCTCCGGACCGTACCGTATCGCTCGTCACCAAGTAGCCGCTGCTGCTGTGTCGTCACCGACGGACTCGTATTAGTCGTATTTTTCACGTGTTCCTCCGACTGCAATACGAGCCGTGTGTGGTGCGTTCATTAAATTAACTTTATTTTTCCCGATTAAAAGCATCTCATCACTACGCACCTGTGCAGCAGGTAGAGTGAACTCATTACTCTGCTCCTTGTCGAAATCGTGTGCATTAGCTATCGCCGCTGATACACCACAGAAGCCGGGGCGCGTATTATGATGGAAAAAGACCAATACCTCAAAGTACGCCAATTTTTCTTTTTTTTTTTTTATCAATTTTTATGATTCACATCTCATCCCTAATGCTTAATAGATGAATATTACAAAAATATTTATTATAGTTTTATTATTATTATTGTCCACCAGTCCTCACTCACAAAACCGCGCACGCAGTGTCTAATTGTCGCCGTCGTAGAACTTTCGAGAATTCGTACCGTTCCCGGCGGGGCTGTTCCTCTTCCCTCTACTCCGCCCGACGCGGCGCGTAGAACGTTCCAGAAGGTTCGTCGCCGCCGCGCCCACGGTATGCGAGCAGCTGCTGCTCTCTGGAAAAACCTACTCCTCGTCACTCGCCATGAAGTTTTTTCGTTTTGCTAGCACGATTTATCACCGCAGTAATAATGTTAATATTCTTGCACCGGTATCGATAACTCGTGGCGTATAATTCGTGTTCGTTTATAATAATATATAACATTATCTATGCCTGTTTCACTATACGGCCGTCGTGTGTGACATATTGTTTCGTTTTATAAACGAATCGAGAACRGCCGATATTTTTTTCTCTYGTGTTTTTTATTATCGGTTACCGGAAATTCGATTACGGCGATAGTATAATAATATTACGGGCCATATGCGAAGGTCGCACGTAAGTGCCTTACCATGTTTTGTATTTTCGTGATTTTTTCCGTTATCTATCGTTAAAATGTCAAAAGCATAAAATAACACATTTGATTAGACTAAGTCTCGTCGATAATAATTTGTATCATTGACTTCAGTTCGAAATGCAGGTCGTATTCACTGTCTGTATAACTTTGCAAAACATAAGGTTGTTTACCGCAATATAGGAATTGTAAATAAGTATTACGATCGTCAGASATCAACAATTCGAACACTGACAATAAAAATAAAATTTTGCATTATTGTCGTCCTTGACTCTAATGATAGGTCGGTGGCACAATGGTCCAGATTTGTCGACGTATTTCTTCGGTTCAAATATTTTATGAAATTCGCCACGACGCGTTGGTATAGTATATGCGAGTATATGTGTTGATGTTCGTAGATATTCGTTTTTATAAATTTTAAATCAAATTGTTTACGACGACAGCGTCAACAAAAAAAATGGTGGTAGAAAAACGTTGAAATTTATGAATTATTATTAAGCTTATTGTCATATTGATTATTTTCTAATATTAATTTACCGTGTTAATTATGCATATCATTATTTTTAAAATACAAAACCTTCGTGATTTTTACGTAATAATCTTGTGATTTCGCTATCGTTAGGATGTATTTGCCGAGAGGCACTTGTGATTATCGTTAATGGAATAAAAATCTGTTAAGTCTGAACATAGCTCGACCATTGTTTCGACTTGTCGCTACGTCACTGGGCCGATCGTATTTTTTTTTGTTTTCCATCGATCTGAATAAACGCAAATTAAGGTAGACGTTACATACTTCTGGGACCGTTATAACGTCATCGTGTTCATCATTGCCTGCATATTTGATCGTCACGATTGACTGTCATCGTTATGTAACTGCTAGTAACCCGCGCCACTATCCATGTACCGTCACACGTCTGCGGGTGTGCACAGCTGCTGTGCCCGATCGTCAACACAACGTGCGTAAACACGACGGACCGTTTATAAATTTGCGAACTGTCACGGATTGGCATTTACGCATTTACATAGCTCACAGCTACGCCCCCTGTCGTGGTTTCGTGTGGCTTTTGTCTTAACCTGATTGTGGTAATCATGGTATCATTTGCTAACCATGATCTACTACAAAGTCTCCAGAGTTGGGTTTGGGAATTGAGCTCAATTTTTGRACATGACATAGGCTGTTACCTGCAGGTTTCGGCGCTGTACTACACCAATATAATTATACACTAATGAGTATTGTATGAGACTCAACAACTTGACACATATGGCAGCGCACATGCTCAACTCTGACTGGCATAATTTCGAAATCGACCTTTCTTATGGTAGAATACATTATAATAGCACACCGTCGACCTTTGTTCGTTTGCCCTTGAACAACAACCAACCATATTATCCATGATAGATATAATACTATTATAATATTATAATATTAAGTATATTGTGTATCACCGTTTACTTTTGAGTCAACGCTATGTGGTAAGGGCTTACAATTCCAATTAGTTATATGATATTAATCACAAGTGTTGATAGTAATGTTATGTTTTCTTTAAAAACGTTAATTCTTTTATGGTAGATTATTTTATATTACTGGGTAATATCGATTTTCTTTTGTCMCTCCTCAAAACCTTCGCCATTGCCATCCCTTTTCTACTCCCATTCGTCCTACAAGTATYTAAAAAACAATGCTTCGCATTAAGGATAGTAAAAATTATCAACGAATTCATCATTCTTTAATAGATTTATTGTTAGGTTTAGGCACCTACATTATTTGAATGCGATTTTCTCGGTATTTTTATTTTTGACACATTTTAAGTTTTCTAAATCTTATGTAGGTAGTTAGTCTGTTTTTAAGATGTATTAGTTTTAACATATTTTGAATTTGGTTCAACCCATGTATTATGTAATAAACTAATAATTAATCACATTTTATTTCCATTCGGCTAACCACAACTCTGTGTATGTTTTTTTCTTGCAGAACGGACGTTTAAACGTGTCGACAGCTGACTTGAACCACATGCGACCAGTTGCCATGTTGTCCACATGCGATGACCGCCATCGCGGGGCCTCTACCAACGCCACCACTGCGGGCGGCCGTGCACAACAAACCGATCTCAGCCGCCTGGCCGTCCTGAGCTACGAACAAGTGGCCCGACTGAACGACGTGATGGACGAGACTGTCAGCATCCACGGCCGTGGAAATTTCCCCACACTCGAGGTGCGTCTTCGTGACCTAGTGGCGATGGTGCGCGACCGACTGCGCGCCCAAGCCGCGCCCGAAGACGACGACGTTGCGTTCCCGGCCGAAAGGTCCGCACCTCCGTCGTCGGATGCTGATGACACGTGCTTCCAAGTACGAAGCATCAGACTCAACGGCGGAGCGGCCTCACACGTGCTGACCACCGACACACAACCGTACAATGACCTGGACTTGATATTCAACATCAGTCTGTCTGGGAACCGGGATTTCGACCGTGTCAAGTCGGCTGTGCTCCGGGCCCTGGTCGACTTGCTGCCCGAGGGTGTCAGCCGCAAACGTATGACGCCGTGCAGCATCAAGGAGGCATACGTGAGCAAAATGGTCAAAGTGAACAAGGACGGCGACCGGTGGTCGCTGATATCGCTGGGTACGCTGCCGGGCCAGCGAAACGTCGAGCTCAAGTTCGTCGATCGGATGAAGAGGCCGTTCGAGTTCAGCGTTGACTCGTTTCAAATCGTGCTCGACTCGCTACTGCTGTTCTACGAGTGTTCCAGCGGCGTGCCGATCAGTGAGAGTTTCTATCCGACTGTGGTCGGTGAATCCGTATACGGTGACTTCCGGGATGCCATGTACCACCTGGAGAACAAGCTGATCGTCACCAGGAACCCAGAGGAGATTCGTGGCGGCGGACTGCTCAAGTACTGTAATTTGTTGTTACGTAACTACGCACCCGACTACGACGGTGACGGTACTAAGAAGCTAGAACGGTATATGTGCTCCAGGTTCTTTATTGACTTCTCCGACATACACCAACAGCGCGCTAAGCTAGAGAACTATTTGAAAAATCACTTTTGCGCCCCCCAAGAGGAATATATGAAGCTCCAATACCTCAACGTGCTAAAACAGGTGGTCGAAGAAAGCACCGTATGCCTGATGATACATGAGAGGCATCAGACCCTATCGCTGATCGCCGAATTGTCGTGGCGGCTGATGGCCGGTCACGGAATGTACTACTATTACCATCCACAGCCGCAGCTGACCATGTCTATTGGACACCACAGCCAATTGCCGGCACAACTACATTGCCCTTCATAAGTGTGTTTGAATTTGATTTTTTTTAAATATTTTTATTATTATTATTTTTTTTTTTAAATGATACGTTTAACAATTTAACAAAAAAATGTTCATATTATGTTATTATATATATACATGATCTCTAAAAAAAAACAAGTCTCTCGCACTCTGCCTCGCCCGCCTCCTTCATCCCAACAAATTTTTATTTGACACCCGCGTAACGGCGCCGACCCAGTGAACAAATTTTCACGTTTGTATATTGTCCGTACGACTTTGAATGATTTATCTTTAAATGTCTGTTAATTTATTCAAATTTTTGTTTAATATATTATTATGATTGCGCATTTGCGTTGTACGTACGTTTTCCGTTTATAAAAATGTATTAGGCTTTATGAGGTTGAACAAAAAAAAAAGATTTTATATTTACTTTCGTTGCGTACTTAATTGGCTACAATTTTTTTTTACGTTTTGGCAGCCATCGTTGACTATTGCACATTATCTATATTATATGAATCAAAAGAGTGAATACATTCTGCAGTTTACAGAGCGGAACGGCCAACATATGAAACACCGAATCTATTATTATGTTTTTACTTTTTTCTAATCCTATATGTATATAATTTATTCATATCTCTGATTCGGAAGCACATTAGACAGTTAACAATATTGTATTAATTTTATCCGCACATCGTCTTGTAATGAAWAAGTTACTATCGATTCCCAAATCTGTCGTAAATATAATATATATCTGTTATACTTGGTATGTTTGATATGCTAAGGAAAAAATGCTTATGGCCCGAGTTAGAGAGACTTATTCTTATTATTTTTATTTTTAATATATTTGTATATATAATACACACACACGCGCACGCGAATTAACGTGTATTACGCACGGTGTACAATTACAACATATAAACAGTTGTTTTACTCAAAATTAAAAATACCATAACAACATATTGTGCGCGTGTAAAAATATCTCCTAAAACAAAAAATACAAAATATATGATGTGAACCGGTTACCGTACCGAAATTTTTAAACTGTTTAATGATAAATCATTATTATATAATATTATTTATCGTTCCCTTACAAATATTGTGTGTAAAAGTTAAACTTTTTTTATTAATTT